GTTTCAACTTTCAACGAGTCCAACTTCCAAGTTTGTTTTTATTATTTTATATTTTATTTTCATTACTCAATTTTTTATTTGTTATCCCAACTTTTTTTTTTGTCTTAAAAAAATGCAATAGAGGATTGAAGCGGGCTCGGGCTCGGGCCGTGCTTGAAGCGGGCTCGGGCTCGTGCCGTGCTTGAAGCGGGCTCGGGCCAAGTCCATTTAATTTCGGGCCACGGGCCGGCCCGGTCCATTGGACCTTTTTTTAAATCCCAGCCCGGTCCAAGCTTTCGTACCGTGCCGAGCACGGCCCACTAATATTCGTGCTCGTGCCGTGCCGTGCCTCATTTAAACGGGCTGGGCTCGTGCCGTGCTGGGCCGGCCCGTCCCGTTTGACACCTCTACTGCGGCCTATGGCAGTTGCCACTCTATGCCCTTTCCCTTGGAGGGTGGCCGTAAGGACACACTTCACTCTAGCTCCAAGACCGCTTTGCTTTTCTATTCTCTGTGTTCCACTACTATCCCACCCTTAATCGAATCGAGCGGGGTTGAAAGCCTGATCTCCCGCCATAGGGGGCATTTCCGTATTTTTTTTAATTGAATAAGTGGGCGAGTGTTTGCGCACACTCGAGATAACAGACACACGTGTGCATGAGCCTACGCATGCATGTACGCGCGCACGATGATTCGTAAAAACCTTTGTCAAAACCCTTGTTGATAGGGATTACCCACAAATTGTGTTTATGCAGTTTTTCTTTACCAAAAATGTACGTTGAATGAGAATTCGAATCAATTTAAAATACAATTCTCAAGATAAGGTTTTTCCAATTCCATTTTTAAGCGTACGCGCGTGTGCACATTTAAAACAAAGAGAAATGGCAAACCGAGAAAGTTGCTGCTCCTACAGGTCGTACTTGCTATAGCTCCCAGGTTAATTACTAAGTAGCTTGGTCCTTGATATAAAGTAAATAGCCCAATGTTTCCAAAAACAAATAGGGAGGAATGCAGTCTGTACGAAGGGTTCTTTTAGTACGACGGTAAGAACCAGGTTTTGGGAAGACGTTAATTGCCCATTCATGGAAAAAATAAAAGGTTTTTGTGTCTAAAAAAGCCAGGTATGGGGCCTCCATTCACAAGCTATACTCCATTCAGAGAAACTCTCCACCTACGTGTCGTATGTCCTTATGGGCTCGTTTGGTACACCGTATTAGACTTTGGATAGGAGTAAATAGTCTATGTCATGTGTTTGGTGTCAACTTGTATTATTTAATTACCCAACTATTTTATACGGGTTGGGCTTTTAATACTCTCCTTACCTGACTAACTAATACAACCCACACACCCCGGATTAGATAATACACGCTTAATTATACGGCTAGGGAAATAGAACACGCGTTCTACGAAAAAAGTCAGACGCTCTTTTTATCTTCTTCTCCCTAGGGTTCTTCTCTGCTATCTTCTCCATGGGTTATTTTCTTCACTCTTCTCCAAGTATCCATCTCTCACTCTCTCTCTTTTTCATACTCTCTCCAATATGCTTCTTCTTAATACACGCTTAATTATACGGCTAGGGAAATAGAACACGCGTTCTACGAAAAAAGTCAGACGCTCTTTTCATCTTCTTCTCCCTAGGATTCTTCTCTGCTATATATCTTCTCCACATGTTATTTTCTTCACTCTTCTCCAGGTATCCATCTCTCACTCTCTCTCTTTTTCATACGCTCTCCAATATGCTTATTCTTACTTCTTCTCTATTCTTTATATATTTCAATTTTATTAAATTTTTGTGGAAATTAGGTTATTAATTTTTCTTTTTTGAAAGATAACAATTGAAAAGAATGATATATTATATATAGAGAGAGAGAATTTGTTTTGTTTTGTTTGCTGTTTAAGAATATATAGCCCTTACAGAAGGTGTGAAGTCGTCAAATGGGTTCTTTCCAGCTTTTGAACTGGCTAAGAGTTCTCTAGTAGTTTTGATATATGACGCCAAACCCCCTGGATAGCTTGAATTAGGATAAAATAAACAATTGAAAAAGGTTAACACTGAAAAGATAAGATAACAATTGAAAAGAATGAAAAGAATTTTTGTGGAAAAAGGTGTATATACACCTTAGCCAGTTCAAAAATTATTTATTCTTAAAGCTTGAACTGGCTAAGGTGTTATCAATTGTAATATATCAAAGATAACAATTGATAACAATTGCTTTATTTTGTGGAAATCCGCCACCTCTTGTAGTTATCTGGGATGGTATTTTGTAGTCTTATGTCATGTCTCAATTTCCATTAAAATTATCAAAGATTTTTATTTTATTTTTAAAATAGTCTAATCTGATGTTATCTGGAACATCACCAAACACAGTATAACTTAGTCAGACTATTTAACTGGAACAGCACCAAACGCCTTATAATATTATGGATAAAGAGTCAGTACTCTCCGGAACAGATTAATACTATCCGACGGAAATTAGTCAGTACAGTCCGACGTACCAAACGAGCCCTATGGCCCCTTAGGGAGCTTGCTTGTAATACCCCGAAAAATTCATGGTGGATTTTCATATTTTAATGAAAAATAATATTATGGTGGAGAATAATTATGGGTATTTTATCAACTGATTTTGGATTGAGATTATTAAATTAAGTGTGTTTAATTTCAAGTTGGAAAAATGACCAAAATACCCCTATGTATTAAAATTACTAAAATACCCTTGTAGGATTATAAATAATTTTTTTTTTTCAAAGGTGAAACGTGGAGGGCATCAAACCACCCTCCTCTCATTCTTCCCCTCTTGCCTCAAGCTTTCATATCCACCATTTTATGAAAGGATGAGTCACCTAGTCTAAAATGGTGAGTCACCTAGCCTAATTAAGATTCTTAAATCATGAAATTATTCTTATCCTCATCATTCATTGTATCATCACTCTCTTCCTCATTCACAATGTTTTCATCCTCATTCTTCTTTTGTTCCTCTTCAAAATCCAAAATTCGTCACTTCCTTGGAGCAGCCGAGAACTCAAATTTCGGAAGCTCAAATGTGAAAACTTCCTTCATAAAAGTTGTTCATTTACGTAATTCCTATAACATTCTCCGATTTCAGCTCAATCCGACTAGCATAGGCTCTGAAAAGTTGGTATGGTCACAATAAGTTTACCATTTCCTGATTTCACAGTAGTATGCTTAGTTTCAATATGTTTATTTGATTTCCTATACTCAAATAACTTTGGTTCCTTCATCAAAGTTGTTTGAAATCCTGTCTACTAATATATCAAAATTTTAGGTTGATCGGATTTCTATAGCCACCTTGGGAATGTTTAGAGTGGAACTTGTTTATAGTCTTCAACCTTAGTTCCTTCCCTTGGTTTCAGTCCAGAACACTCATTTTGAAAGCTCAAAACACTATAGTCTCTTCATGATAGTTACTCCAAATTCTCCTCTTTATAACATATACAAAGGTCAGCAAAACATAACAATTAGGGCCCGTCTGGTAATGTTTTGGGAGAATGTTTTTAGAGAATATTTTTAGAGAATGAAAATAAGAAAACAAATTTGCATTTTCAGGAAATGAAAATGTGTCTGGTAGATTAATTTGAAAACATCTTTAGAAAATAAAAACAGTGAAAATGTGTCTGGTAGTACAATTGTTTTTCAGGTGTATTTTTTATAATTTCAGTTCTTTTTTTTTAAATTATGATATTTTTAGAGGCTAAAATTATTATAAATAATGAAAAAAAATTAAAGGCCAAAAACTATCTTATCTCCTTTCTTTTTTTTTTCTTCTTTTTCTCCTTTTCTCTCTTTCCTCCTCTTTTCTTCTTCTCTTCCTTCACATGGCTGTTTCTTTTTTCTCTTTTTCTTCCTCATTTCTTCTTCCTTTCCTTCCCAAGGCCGTTTTTTTTTTCTCCTTTTCTTCCTCTTTTCTTCTTCCTTTCCTTCTCCACACACTCCTTCCTTCCATGGCATGAATCCCATACACCCACCCATCACTCTCTCTCTCTCTCTCTCTCTAGTTTCACTAATTAATGGTTGTGTTGGTTTGATTGGGTGATGATGGTGGTTGTGTTGGGTATGTGGTGGTTCTTCTTCCTCTCTGTTTTTCTTTTCTTTTCTTTTTCCTTTGTATTTTTTTTTTCTTAGTTTGCATATTGTGTTATTTTGGATCGGAGAAGATGAGAGGTCAAGAAGAGAAGGGTGAGAGAGGAGAGAAGAATTTTGGTTTTCGGTCTGAGAAGGAGAGAAGATTGAGCGAGAGATGTGTTTTGAGCGTTTGTTTTATGGGAGAACAAAAACATCTTTTTTCTGTTTTGTAGAAGTAAACGTGAAGTTGGTCTCATTTTATAAAAACATTTTCAATGTTTTCTATTTTTTCCCACCGAACACGTTTTTGCTTTGTTTTTTTTGTTTGAAAATGAAAATGGGCCTTTAAAACGTAAACGAACGGGGCCTTATAACTCTCTGAAAATTGGTATGAACAAAACTTGTTCATTAATTATGTTCAATTTCTTGTTATAGATGTGTACTTTTTCTCAAATGGCTTGTTACTTATCATTCCATTGATCAAATTAGCCACTATCATCTCAAGTAAATGATTCTTTGAAGGTATGAAGCTCATCTTCATATTGTCTCTTTGAGTACTAGTTGTAAATCAAGTGTTGGTTAGAATGCCCCAATGACATATATCTCTTTCAAAGTGTGTTTCTATGAAGTTCTAGATCATTTCGATGTGATTTTGTACCAATTTCATTCTGGGATTTTGTTACATCAAAATTGATATTTCAAGGGTTATTTCAAAGTTGGTTTTGTGCCATTTGAATTTAAATTGATTTTTTTGTGAAATTTCAAAGGAGAGACTATGATGTTGGAATTGTTTTGATTCTATCGCTTGCCCTGTTTTGAATAGTGAACGACCTTCAATTGCGCTTCACCACCCCCCCTGTGGGTAAAAGCTTATATAGCTGGTTGACCAAAATGAGGATCCCAAATTGCATGAGCAATAGGTCCCTCAGGTTTGGCGAGGTAAATGTATTAAAAAGGGACAAATTTTATCGGATGGTGTTGCTACGGTTGGCAGCGAACTCGCCTTGGATGCCAAGGTAAAAAATTAAAATAATTTTTCATCAATCCAATCACCGTTCATGTTTTTTCTTTTTCTTACCAATCACCACTACACTTTTTGACCTTGGTTCTGTAGGAGCAAGTCAGAAAGATTGAGAAATAGAACCATCTGATTTGATTCGTTCTATAGCGGGGTCTCGAAAAACAAGTAATTTCTGCTGGGCCTCAATTCTTTTTTTAGGTTCATTAGAGTTTTTATTGGTTGGAATATCTAGTTATTTTGGTAGGAATTTTATATCTTTATTTCCTTCTCAGCAAATATATATATTTTTTTTTCCACAAGGGATCATGATGTCTTTCTATGGGATCACAGGTCTTTTTATTAGCTCCTATTTATGGTGCACAATTTCGTGAAATGAAGGTAGTGGTTATGATCGATTCAATTGGAGCTTATCAGTAGAAAAGAATCAATTTAGATAGTCTTTTGTGGCTCTGGTGGCGACTAGATCAATATGTTATTACTTCAATAGAAACTCTTATCGAAGTTCACTATGAATCTTTGGGTATCTATCATGATATTTATGGGCACTATCTAATAGTATAAAAATTGAGGGGAAGCTGTTGAGAGTTATCATAGAATGAGTACCTCGATTTAATATTTGTACCTGTTATTTATTGTTTTATATTAATATTTTAACTTTACCCTTATATTGTTATAAAGATATGGAATTGATATTCCTGGTATAGTAGATGCTATTACCACTTTTGGGCAACTTATTTTTTTAATATTATAAATACTAAAAATATTATTAATTTCTTTATATATAAAATATTATAAATACTAAATCAATTATATTTAATGCGGATGTGGATACAGTCGAATGGTAAAATTTCTCTTTGCCAAGGAGAAGACGCGAGTTCGATTCCTGCTATCCGCCCAGGATAATGGGTAAATATATGAAATTTAATTAAATATTTAATAGATAAAGCATTAAGTATAATACGGGTCGATTATTCAGGGTGTTCTGTCATTGTCGTAGGTCATTCACTTTCATTACATCAATGTGGATTGCCTTGCGAAATAGCAATAAACCTTTTCCAGACATTTGTAATCCAATATTGAAATAATTTCAAAGACTTTCGTAATTTAATGTGGTAAAAATTTAGTTTACATGATGACTTGACGTAATGGAAATATTGAGGATCATTTGCTAGCCTATTTATTAAGATATTATTACCACCAAATTATTATATTTTACGTGGTGAATATTTCAAACCATTACTGCGTCCTTATTGGTACGGAATGGTAGACTAATTTTTTATTATCTTTAAGAGATGCAATTTTGAGAGCAACTCCAATGCAATGATGTAAATTAGGGATGTAAAAACCACATTTATATACCGTTTGCATGTCTAGGGGACATAAATGTATTTGGAAATTAGGGATGTAAATTAAGGATGATCTTAATGAAATTCCTCTAGATTTTCTGTTATGGGACTTGTAAATTTAATTTTATACCATGTTTTACCATTTCCACAACTAAAAATTTACTTTATCCTGTATCAGAAAAACCTCCATAAAGAAACTATGTCTACAAGCACTGGCGGATCCACAGAGGCGTAAGGAGGTGCAGCTGCACCTCCCCTCACCGGAAACTTCCTTGGGGATGCCTGAATTTGCCCCGTCGCTAGTGCCCACCAATTGTTCGACTAAATGCCTCAAAGACGTTGTATTGTTTGCTGCTGTTTGAGACCCTGAATATTTATCTTATATTGTTGGGCTCGATCTCACGAGCATGTAGGAGAAAACAGTTCATCAATCGGAGCTACACAACCAAAGTTATGAATTTTCGAAGTTTTTCTTGAATATTTGAAGTTATGTTGCAGAGGAACAGTTTAAGGAAGAAGAAGACTCTGCGTCAGCGCTTCTGATTTTGATTCTTTTTTAAATGGCCCAATAGCAAGCCAACACATGTCTATTTCTAATTGGCCTAGCTTAAAAATTCATTAAATACTCATATGTGTGCCAAAAAATTCACCGAAAATTACCCCAAACTTCTAATCACGTGTACATTTATTTCATGACCTCCAATTTACATGTGCTTTTGGTTAGATTAATTGGTAAATTTTGGTTAGATTAATTGGTATTAACTTTTGTTAGATTAATTATGTAATTGACATGGATTTTGTTCATATTTGATATGAATTTTGGTAAACTAACTGTGTCAATGACAAGGATTTTGTTCATATTAATTGATATCCATATAGACTATAATCAATTAGTTGTAGACGTAAAACTTTTATTTGTTTTAATTATGAGTGACATTTTGCACCTCCCCTGAAAAATTCCTGGATCCGCCACTGTCTACAAGTGTTGTTAGTGACAACTTTGGCTATAGCGAAAGATTGTTAAAGTTAGAGTTGGCAATGGCCACAAATACTTAAAATTTTGATCGATGAAGGAAAATTATTATTTTTAAACGGTTGAGAAAAATTAAAAGGAAAAAAAAACAATGGGATTTTTTGTTTTGCTTTGGTAAAAATCAATGGGTTCAGTAAAAGTGAAAAAAAAAAGCACTTTAGACAATTAAAAAAGAGATGACACATGTCACTTTGTGGTTGAGCCATAATTGAAGGGAATGAGGAGTTCCTCCTTAGATAGAGAAAGGAAGCATTGTCCAAACAGAAACCCATGCCAAAAAAAAAAAAAAACTAAAGGAAAATGAGAAAAAGATAGGAAACTTCAAGCCTTGCCACAATGTGGTGGGTTGCCATACTCAACTTTCATGTGCTTTGTAATTTTGAATATTTTTTTACTTGGATAATGAATGAATTTTTTTTTTGTCAATCTCATTCTTTTATGTTCTTTTTGGTAATCAAATAGGCAAAAAAAGGAAAAGAAAAAAAGAATCAAAATAGGAAATTGTATTGAAAAATTGATTAAATCGACCAAATTGATTCAATTTTTAATTTTCAATACAAAAGCAGTTCAAGATTCATTTTTAAATTTTGCATTCCAACTTTTCCGAATCGACAATTCATGCATTTTTATGGAATTTAATTTGTTCATCTATGTATTTGATTTTAATTAAATGACTTATCCATTTTTTATTTTGCATATTTTTTTACACGCGCAATATTTGAAGAGGAATATTCAAATATGTTCCATTCCCCATCACCTATAATACAAATGGATTTGGAATTTACCCTTTTTTATTTTATTTTTAAAACTAGATGATTTTCGGACCTATCCCAAAATAAGAAATATCATTATTATGCAAATATTTTGAGTAACTCATCCAACTCACCATGTCAGAAAATCAATAAATAAGAGGTGTTCATTGTACATTTTCAATTAACTCCAAATTTAATTATTCTTATCTATGTTTTGGCTTTGAAGTGACCTTTGCAATTCAATACCCAAACAAGCAAAAGAGTAAAGACCCCCAACCCTCTTGTACTTTTTATTCTCTATAAAAACAAAAAACCATGCTCCAAAAAAACAAAAAAACAAAAAAATTGATTGTAGGACTACTTGTCATATATGATATATAGCCGTATAGGTCTCTATCTACCCCGGAGATTAAAAGAAAAGTAATATATTGAGTGGTCAGAGTTCGTGTCTTATCCTCATTGGTTGAGAAATATTTAGTCTTTTTCTTTTTATTAGTCGACATGAAGTTCTTTTTTTCATTTGTCATCATAAATTATCATCAGAACCACTAAATAATTTAGAGGATAAAACCCAAAGAGATGACCAAAATAGATAAATTTAAATTAATCAACAAGAAATTATAGTAGGGGTGGGCATGGTTCGATTCGGCTTGTTGCTTTCTTTATCATCATTTATAATTTATGGAATATTAGTTGAGAAAAACCTACCTTTGATTCAAATTTCAATAAAGCCAGCTCTTAATTTATTGATTCACAAACCAAGTTCAAATCAAGCCCTTAATATTGTAAAAATAAATAAAAATTTACCATTCCACATAATAAATACAAATCCAAACCTCTTGATTTCTTATAAAAAAAAAAACCTCTTGATTTTAAAAAAAATTAAAAATTAGCAGGCGGATTGCTTATTAAGGAAGCCAAATACAAGAAAGAACTGAAACACAAAGAAAGATCTTAACCGTTCGTCTGCCGTCCTCTCCTGACGTGGACACCATCCAGACCCTTGATTGTTCCACCAATCACCGCTCTAGTTAGCAAGCACCAAACCTCTCGGCTGTCTGTCTATTTTACTGTTATACCCCCTCATACCCCCTCGCGTCCTTACTACTTCTAGGCCAAGGAAGGGTAGCTTTGTCCGAAAAGAATTTCTCACTTACAGACCCCAATTATTTGACCTCGATGATTCAACTCTCAAAAGACCCAAAATTCAACACTTACGAAGAAAGAAAGAAAGAAAAGCGTCCTTTTGCCTAAAGCTCTCTCTTCGCTTGGCGTGGCGTGCATGCTCTGAAGCTCTCTCTCTTCGCGCCCTTTTGCCTTCCTCTAGTCCTGGTCACGGTCACGAAGCTCTCATTGTGCTCATCTCTCTCTGCAAGTTCGCCATTTTTGCTGCTTGTAAGTATCTCTGTCTCCCTACCACTCTGTTTTGCTGTTTTCTGGTGTGTATATGCATGCGTTGTATGATTTTTGTGTATGTGGGTGTGCGATTTGAGGGAAAAGAGCTGGCTTTGTGATGAGTTTTCTTTGGTGAGAAAAATTGAATTTTGGGGTTATTGTGATAGGCTTTTCTCCTTGCGGTTGCTTGTGTATGTGTATATATATACATATGCATGTGTTAGAGCTGATTTTTGTGTGTGATTTTGATGTAAAAGAGCTGACTTTTAGATATTTTTTAGTGATTTTGGTGGAAAAGGTTCAATCTTTTGGTGCTCATGGACTATAACGCGCCTGTAGCAAAGAGGACACGGCTAAGTGAAGAGAAATACTGGAGGGAGTTGTGGGAGAAAAAGGCTGGGAAACGAAAACTCCGTGATGGGTCTGATAAGAAAGGGAAATCACGTAAGGGGTCCGAGGCATGGGATTGTGTCTCTGTGGATGACTCTGAGGAGAATGAGGAAGCCACTGTGAGTCCATCCACGGGAGGCAAGGACAAGAAAAAGGGTGGGAAAAGAAAATCTGCTGAGGGGTCTAAGAAACAGAGGTCTGGTTGTGATGATTCTGATGAGTGTGAAGATCCCAGTGTTGAAATCATCAGCGAAAGTTCATTTGGAAAGCAAGACAATGATTCTTTGGGTTTTGATAGTGTTGAGAGTGCAGGATCAAATGGAAAGAAGTCTAACTCTGTTGCTGTGGACATGGAGAATTTTTTTCCAGTTGAAGTGGAGGATAGTGATGATGAGGTGGTGTATTTGGGTGAAGGGAAAGTAGGAGGTTTTGGTTGTTTGAGTTCAGAGAGGAGTGATGCCTGTGAGGATGCTGCTTCTGATGGCACCACTGAGGATGCTGCTTCTGATGGCTCAGATAAATCTTGGAAGAGTAGTTCTAGTGAGGATTCTATTTCTCATGCCTCAGGTGAATCAGATGATGAGGCTTTTGAACCAGAAAACTCAGAAAGTTCTGTATTTTCTGAGTCGTCGAATTCATGCGGTGAAGAGGGGCATGATGATGAAAGAGAGGTTACCAAGAGAAGTGGGAAACCAGGAAAGGGGAAAAGTGTTGAGGAGAAGAAGGGGCAGGACATTGATGCTAGTGAGATTGCAAAAGGAAGTGGGAAAGCAGAAAAGGGGAAAAGTGTTGAGATTGGTGTGAGGAGAAAGAGAAGGGTTGGATTGGATATGTCAGTTGATGCAGATGATGACATTGATAGCAACAAAGATGATCCTATTCATTCTGCTCAAGAGTTTAATAGTGTGGCAAAACGAACTCGTTCACGAGTTAGTCCAAGAAGTGAAAAGAAGAGAATAGAATCTGGAACTGTAAATGATAATGAGGATTCTTCTTCTGGGTATGATAATGACAATGAGGATGTGGATGACGCCAATTGCAGTGGTCCGAGAACTAGGTGCCACGAAAAGAAAACAGGGTCTGATGATGATAGAAGAAATTATGAAAGTGACAAGACCTATGGTGGTAGTCCAGAAACTGAGCGCAGTAAATGGAACGATGCCCAGAGAGTGTGCAAGAAGAATAGAAGGGATATCGGGAATCTTACTAACAGAAGGTCCATGTGGGCAAAGAAGGATTGCAATGTTTTAAAGATTCTTGTAGATTCCATTTATGAGAAGGGAGAAGGGACACTGAAAGGGTCAGTTTCCTTTGGAGATGAAGGCCATAAAGATGAAAGAAATCAACCAGAATCTGAGATGACAACTCTTCCACTTAAGTTCAGTTTTGGGGAGCAGTCAACTGTACCAAAGAAGTCAGAGTGTGATCCAGAAGAAAAAGAACTATGGGACGACCTTGAATTTGCTCTCAGAGCTTCTGAGATTGATTCCTCTGATTCTAATGTGGTAGGTTGGTTCCCCTGATCTTGGAAAGTACATTTTTGTTTCTTGCACAAGATCTTTTATTGTAAGTGAATGTTTGATTTGCAGGTTGAAAGTCAAGATTCACTCCCTATTGCTGATGAAGTTGAAACAGTAGCTAGCCTCTGTAGGCGAGGGGTTCATCAGCTTATACTTGATGAAGAGATTGGACTCAGATGCAAGTTTTGCTCTTATTTGGATCAGGAGATCAAGTATATTTTACCAGACTTCGTAAGTCCTGCAATTGTCTTATGCATGTTCCTTTCAGTTAAGATTGATTATGTTAGCATTTTTCGATTGCACTAAAACTTAGAATCTAGTTATTATTATGATAACACTGAATGTAGAGCATTCTGTATTGTTTGGAACATGCTTAGGATGCATCCTTTGTTGGTAATTTTATCCATATAAGTTTTAGATTTAGAGACTTAGAGCAAGGGCTTGCTTGCCTAGCTGAGATCCAATATTATATATATATATTGTTTTGGTTTGGGTCCGTTATTTGGAATGAAACTATGACGTGTTGACGTTTCTTTCCCTGTAACTTGAGTTGGCCAAGTTTGATTGGATCTGAGAGCAAACTCACTGTTCAAGCTGTTGACCCAATTGACATATTTCAACTGTTGTTTGTTATTATTAGATTTTTA